ACCAAGTATAATATCTGCCAAGTCAAATCGAACTTACTTGATCCATGACATTAATATTAGAACCTTGAGCGATCAACAATGACACCATTTCGTAGTGCCCATTCATAGCAGCAAGATGAAGAGGTGTTCGCCCTCGCCAATCCTAACAAACAGATTTTTTTGAAAAGTATTTCACCTCATTAGTATGTATCCCAATACTTGTGATGGAAGAATAAAAAGAAACTCTTGCTAGAAAGGAAAGCTTGTATTACATTTTCTATGGCGCTTGCTGCCTAATCAAGATTAGGGGAGTTCATTTCCTTGTGCTAGAAAGGAAGTGGAAGTGTCGAAAACTTGGAACTGGTTTTCGACTTGTCTGCCTTTAACTCATAAGTAATGAACCTTCCCTCTCCTCCCTCTTCCTCCCCCTATTAATTCTTGTGCATACCTTGGCATGCTGCTGTTGTGTTGAACGAGACAGAAGCATTCCTACAACAGCGATGTGTCCCTGCTGAGCTGCCAGATGTAAAGGGATCACACTCTGAAGGATATCCATTAAAGAATATGAATCGCAGTGCTCAAACTTCTTTTTTTTCAGCTAATATTCTTTTTCAACTGACATAAATAAGCAAGCTATCGAAAAATCAAATACTTACCATTGTGGTACTTGTGGCATCCACTTGCACTCCTTGATTGAGCAGCATTCTTACGAGCGAGTCATGACCTGATTGAGCGGCAAGATGTAGCGGTGTGAAGCCATACTTAAAATTGAGCAGCTTATGTACAACTCAATGGTAATATGAGAAACAAACTAACCTCAGTGGCAAATTCTTTGACAACATGGTGGTTGTATATAGGAGGTTCAGAACGGATTGACGCAGGAACGCTTTTCAACATCTCATTAACAAAATCTGAGTTCCCATAGTACGCAGCGATGTGAAGTGCATTCAAACCAGTCTAAGACGTCACTCGATAAACGGCGGACATAGGTCAATTCACTGCACAGAAACTTACCTTTCGTGAGCACCTCCTCCACAAGGTTTTGTCAAAAGCTTGCAAAATCGAGACAAAACCATTTTTGGCTCCCAAATG